TAAACATTGACTCTTAGCCCTAGAATTAGATATTAAAATTTTTAATCAATTTTTAATTTTTTTGAAAAAGAAATACAAGCTCACTGAGGACATTTGGAAATTGCAAAAACTTATAAAGAACAAAATAAAAGTCATTTCTAATTCTGGTTTTCTTTTTTTTTTTGAGATGGAGTCTTACTCTGTCACCCAGGCTGGAGTGCAGTGGTGCATTTCAGCTCACCGCAACCTTGACCTCCCGGGTTCAAGGGATTCTTCCATAGCTGGGACGACAGGCACATGCCACCACGCCCAGTGAATTTTTGTATTTTTAGCGGAGACGGGGCTTCTCTATGTTGACCAGGCTGGTTTCCAACTCCTGACCTCAAATGAGCCACCCACCGTGGTCTCTCAAAGTACTGGGATTATAGGCATGAGCCACCGTGCCCAGCCAAGTCGTTTCTAATTCTACTATCAAGTGATAAACACAGGCTCCCATAATTTAAATAAATTCTTAGTTACAACAAGAAAACCTATGTCTAGTCTTCAGGCTGCTATCTAAAACAGTGCAGGTTACTAAAGCTAGTATTACTGTCTGGGCCCATGGTGGCCTTTCCCAGAGTTATGGGGAACGAGGGCTGCTTCACACACCCCAAGGCATTGGTAAGCTCCTGCCATTTCAGTTTTCTCTTAACAGAATTTGGATTGAAACAAAAGAGCACAGGAATGAAATGAAGGCATACGTACATACGACACGCTTTTCTAACCACCAAAGGCCATAGATCAATTAGGATTTTCTTTGTTAATTCACCTTGAAAACTGAAAATTGACATCCTTTCATTAATTATTTAAACTCACAACTCTCATATCCATTAGAATATATGAAAATGGCACCGTGAGAACCAATGATCCAGAGACAACAGTTACCTCCTGTTAACAGTTTTTTCTTGAAATTGATAGAAACGAAGAATTTCATAAAAATGAGAGAAAAGGTTGAAATATTTGAGAATGATTTTTCTTACAAATAGTTAACAAAAAGTATGTCCCAAATCCAGAAGGCCCAGCCAATCTTGTTGGCACACCTCACTTTTCACCTTCTTTTCCCCTAAGTAATCATGAATTCTCTTGGTCGTGCTCTGCTCTGAACGCGGAACAACTTCCAAGTACCCTTTTTGTCACTATTGCCAAGTTAGCAAGCATTCTTTAAGCCTGTCACTATACAAGGCCCCTCTGGAAATGCTGAGTAGCAGGGAGCTGAGGAGAGCAGTAGCTTCACTAAGAAAATATCCAGCAACGCAGAACCAGTTCTCATGTGCAGAGAGCTCATGGAGTTGAGTAAGGTCCTGTAATTTTTGTCTCATGTGTCCTGAAATGTTAATTTCTATAATATTTCTGTCTCTTTTAAACTACATCTTGTGAAAATAAATTGATGACATTTTCACCACATTTTGAGAGTGTATTTGGAATGATCTGATTTAAAGTGTAGACTATATACTGTGCACAATCACACAAATTACATGGGGGAGGTTGAGGGAGCATAATTTAAAAGATTTCAATTAGTCATATTGCATTAAAAATTGCTTTATGTTTGTAGGAGGAGCATTCCGAATGTTCCTGAGTTTTCTAAAATGTTCAATTTCAAAACTTTTTCAGCCACAATCACAAGAAATTAAGTCAGACAAAAGGCAAGCTCAAAAACTTGCAGATCTTAGCACCACATCATCAAAAGCCTAAAAACAAAAGTGAGGATACTGAGAGAGCCAAAGTTCGTATGAAAAGGATAACCTCTTGAGGACAATCACAAGAGGTATGTTAGTCAGGGACAACTGAGACCCATGCGCAGTGTGATGAGTGGCTGGCCCCAGGGGACAGGCAGGCAGCTTCTAGAGCAGTTGAAACTGAGGCCCAAGCAGATGCCCCTGGGACTGCAAGGCAGGACAGGTTTGCCATCAGCAGTTAGAACTGGAGCCTGAGGGAAATTTGGCCGCCAGTCAGGAGAGACACACCATGCATATTAAGATGCCATGGACAGAGAAAACAATGGCTTAAATATGAGCCTCAAATCGAGGAATTCAATATCAGTTTAATGTCTGAAATTTAGAGTACTGAAGTGGTTATTAACACTGGGGAAAGAAAATCACCAACAAACAAACAAAACCCCCCACAAGACCCCAAATATTTAAAAATTGACATCGAGATAAAAATCGCTGCATGTCCTTAGGATGCCGTAAAAGGAAAGTGGATTCCTGTAATATGTTGGGTCACACTGAGTCTCTGGCACCATCCTTCGTCTTCTAAACATCCCCAGTTACCACAGGACATGTCCTTCGCCTTAAACATTAAGAGGCCACCAGAGTGGAGGCTTGAAATTGCTGGTGCTGACTAGTGATTGAGCTGCTTCTTTACACAATGTGCCGCACAATGAGAATAGCATTCTTATGTATACCACATGTAGCAAATGTAGGTATATACGTATATCTGAAAAATATTTTTTGCAAATCTGAAAACTATTATAGGTCTATTTTAATATTATAATTATAGAAAAACATTACAGCGCTGACTTTTTTTTTATTTTTTACATTTATATTTTAAAACTATATTATATATTGCAAATACAATTACATCAGCGTCTGTCCGCCAATAATAAATTTTTTTTTCCCATTAATTTATTTTATTGCATTTTAGGTTTTGGGGTACATGTGAAGAACATGCAAGATTGTTGCATAGGTACACACGTGGCAGTGTGATTTGCTGCCTTCCTCCCCATCACCTACATCTGGCATTTCTCCCCTTGCATATCTCCCCACCTCCCCACCCCCCACCGTCCCTCCCCTATTTCCCCCCAACTGACCCCAGTGTGTAGTGTTCCCCTCCCTTTGTCCATGTGATCTCATTGTCCAACACCCACCTATGTGTGAGAACATGCGGTGTTTGATCTTCTGCTCTTCTGTCAGTTTGCTGAGAATGATGGTTTCCAGGTTCATCCATGTCCCTACAAAGGACCCAAACACATCGTTTTTGATGGCTGCATAATATTCCATGGTGTATATGTGCCACATTTTCCCTATCCAGTCTATCGTCGATGGGCATTTGGGTTGGTTCCAGGTCTTTGCTCTTGTAAACAGTGCTGCAATGAACATTCGTGTACACGTGTCCTTATAGTAGAATGATTTGTAATCCTTTGGATATATACCCAGTAATGGGATTGCTGGGTCAAATGGAATTTCTATTTCTATGTCCTTGAGGAATCGCCACACTGTCTTCCACAATGGTTGGACTAATTTACACTCCCACCAACAGTGCAAAAGTGTTCCTATTTCTCCACATCCTCTCCAGCATCTGTTGTCTCCAGATTTTTTAATGTTCACCATTCTTACCGGCGTGAGATGGTATCTCAATGTAGTTTTGATGTGCATTTCTCTGATGACCAGTGATGATGAGCATTTTTTCATATGTTTGTTGGCCTCACGTATGTCTTCTTTTGTAAAGTGTCTGTTCATATCCTTTGCCCACTTTTGAATGGGCTTGTTAGTTTTTTTCTTGTAAATCTGCTTTAGTTCTTTGTAAATTTTGGATATCAGCCCTTTGTCAGATGGGTAAACTGCAAAAATTTTTTCCCAATCTGTTGGTTGCCGATTCACTCTAATGATTGTTTCTTTTGCTGTGCAGAAGCTGTGGAGTTTGATTAGGTCCCATTTGTCTATTTTGGCTTTTATTGTCAGTGCTTTTGGTGTTTTGCTCATGAAGTCCTTGCCTACACCTACGTCCTGAATGGTTTTGCCTAGATTTTCTTCTAGGGTTTTTATGGTGTTAGGTCTTATGTTTAAGTCTTTAATCCATCTGGAGTTAATTTTAGTGTAAGGTGTCAGGAAGGGGTCCAGTTTCTGCTTTCTGCACATGGCTAGACAAGCGCTGACTTTTTAAATAAATCCTATATTACAATGATTATGGGTATGAGCTCTCTTAAGGAAAGCTGAACAATATGGCTAGCAGTGAAAGAGAGAGAAAGAAAAAAGAAGAGAAAGGAGGGAAGGGGAAAAGTGAAGTAGCACTGTGGGGATTGACCCAGCACTTAAAATTTTAAACTAAGAGAAACTAAGCTGATTTTTTTAATAAGAAGGTGAACCAGAGAGAGATTTTGGTTTATGATTGAAAGCTAGCTAGAACAGACATTCCTACTCCTGATACACTTCCCCTTTTTCTGCCAGTAGAAGAACCAGTTTCCGCACCCCCAGCCTCCCACTCTCCCATCCTTTAAAAAATCTTCTTTCCTTTTGTTTATTGTGAAACTACCAACTGCAGGCACAAACCCATTCTGATAGATGGAAACAGCACCAAAGAGCTAGTTGATTAAATTTACCTTTTGAAAAATTCAAATTAGGGAAAAAGTACTCAGGTATGGAAGGTGTTTGTAGCTGGATGAACCAGTGGAATCACCTCAAAAACAGGGCCCTCAAATTTCTGCAGCTAAGAGTCACATTTTGGCAAGCTAATCTGTATTTTGCATTTTCTTGTTTAAGTTATGTGGTTTTTTGTTTTTTGTATTTATTTTTATTTTTTTTCTTTCAATCAAAGAATTTTTAACTGTATCTCTGTGGATGCAGGGACCATATATAAATTCTCTATTTCACTCTCTGCGCTGGCTCTGTACTTAATTCTTGGTAGGCATTCAACTATTTGCAGAATGATGAAACAGAATGGGTGAATAAGTGGATCCCCCCTCCTAAAAAGGACTTCTTGCCCTTAAGATTTGAAGAGTAATTTTAATAATAATTTATATCTTAAATCTAAATAGTTGAGACTATGACAGAAATAAGTATATTAATATGAAAAGTTGGATTTACAATGGCAAAAAATTAAAACAAATTTAAAAAATTACGTCTGGGTTTTCTATTACTTGCTGTTCTATCTTATAGAAGTGAAGTGTAATTTATACCCACTTCTTATTTTCATTGGCGAATTGATATTTTAATCAATAACATTGATATTTTAACATATTTCGTCTCATTCTAACTTTTGGGCATTATTAGATTATCTGCATGAACTATTTTATTTTTTCAGAGCCATCAATTTACTCAAATGTATTGCTACTTATAATGTTTTTTGAGCATCTACACCAACAATGACTCAACTGGGTACACGTGCCTAATAAAAATTCATGGTAGTTTTCCAAGAACTTTGTAGACAGTAAAAAAATAAGAAAATCCATTTTCATTTTCTCGACTCTATTTTTTTGCTATAATTGATCTGCCTAGAATAAGTCTGTGGTCAAGGCTTTAGTTTGGTTTTCCTTTCCCTTCTCCCCATCTCACAACCAAACTTATCTCATATTACAAAAGAAAGGGTTACGTTTCACCCATCCAAACTCTTATCACAGTGCCTGACACCTTCTTTAACCAAGTCACCATAAACATTTGATAGGGCTTTTGTCTTTCCCTTTCTTATACATTTTTCCACCCTAGAAAAAGTGGGAGATTTAAAAATTGTGTATTCTGCCTGTGCTGGAATACTCTGAAGTCAGGTATATTTGTAGAGTTGGATTAGAGAAGTAGTGACAATCTCCTTTTAAAGATGTATATCTTCGTCTTTCTCCCCAATTCTCTCTAAAGAAATTACTGATGCTGAGGAAGATCCTGAGAAGAAAGAAATAAACGTGTATCCGTAGTAAGTGTTGAAGGACATCCTAGATTATGTGATCTAGGTGAGAAACATTTGGAAAAGCTTTGTGTGCGCTCTTTCTCTCTCTCGCCCCACCAATCTCAGAAATAGAAGAATAAAGATTTCTAGAAAATTCATTCTCTTTTCCCTCTCTCACTCTCTCCTTCCCTTTCTGAATAATTTAGTCCAAAAGCCAGTAGGTAGGGTAGAATGTAATAACACAAAGAGAGAAAGTAGAATGCAAGTCCAGCGCCAAGTGTGGGAGCCTAAGCAGGGTGAAGAAAGCCTCTACACAGTGGCCCTGTGCACACGCCACAGCCTAAAAGGGGTGAGGCAGTTGTAGACATGGGGTGACGGAAGGGGTGGTGATGAGCAGCTGGTATCTTCTGTGTGGGATTGATCAAGTAAGTAAACATATTGAGGGCGATGGAATTTCTCACTGTTAGAGAAAGGAGTTCTATACATGCATAGGCATGTATATATATATATATATATATATATATATATATATATATATGTGTGTGAATGTGCATTTCTAATTAAACTTTACTTTTTAGGTTTGCTTATCAATTTCTACAATATATTTAAGTTTCTTTGATAAATACTATGCCAATAATGATTGTATTATAATTCAGACAAAAGATATTAGGTCTTATGATCACAAAGAATATTTTAAAAATTCAATTTATATACATATTTTATTGCAATTTTACTATCAATAAAAGACCTTCAAGAATTAAAATATGTTAAGATAAAATTACATGGGAAAAATGGAATGGAAATATGAGGTCAAAGAGAAAATGGAACAATGTAAAATTTCTGATTATTGAAGAAGAGCTTATTCATGTATTTTTTAAATTGATGACCCTGCATGTTCTGCACATGAACCCCAGAAACTAAAGTGCAATAAAATATATTTTAAAAAAAGAAAAAAGAAAAAAAAATTGATGGTGGTGGGCATAAAGCTGCTATAGTGTTTAGATTATATTGGATACCTAAATTATAAATAATATTACCATTTTGTTATCATATGTCAATAATTAAAACAGCCCAGAAGTCGCATCTTTTGAAACTAGTTTTACTTTATGCTGAAACCATTTTATATCAGCTTAAAAATGGACAGAAGGATAAATGAATTTCCAAAAAATGTTAAAAGGCAAGCAAGCAGCCCCTAAAGGTAAATACTTTATTCACATTTATTATACAACTAGGAAAATGGAAATTCACAAAAATTAATGTTTTGCAGATCACAGTTGTTAAGTGATGAACCTGGGACAGTCTGTTTGACTATGAACGTGCAAATTTCTTTCTGGGCTTTCACTTCCCCTGCTTTTCCTTGCTCCATTCCACTTCCTGTTCAGCTTATCTTTCCAACTGTTGACCCAGCTGACCCACAGTGGCTCTAAGACCACCACTAGCTACTTGGCTGTAGACTCACAGAAACGGTAGCTGCACAGAAGCCACAGCTTCTCAGATACCTCTCTATGGGCTCCCCCTTCACAGTCTAGTTTAGCCACTGGGTATGCTGTGCTTCACAAGTTCTCTGCAAGCTTCAGCATGTCCACCTGCCATCGTGCTTCAGGTAGCCTGGTTAAAGCTTTATCTCAGATCCTCCAAATTTCCCTTCTGCACTTTCACTTCCCCAGCTTCTCCCTAAATTGGTAAAGCCTAGTTCCTATAATAAATCTTTTATTCCCATAATATGTATTAGGCCTCTGCTTCCTGACTAACACAATTATCGTTACCTAAAGTAATTCTAGAGTAACAAAATCTTATTATTAATGATTTAAAACTTTTTTCTTGCTCTGGCTAGATTGGAAGACATTTATGTTCCCATTCTAAGTAACAAATTGGGCAATGGTAGTCTATGACATTCAGTAGAAAAACACTACTTAAAGTATCACCTAGAGCCACTTGGAAAGACTTTCCATGTCCAAGTGGTTGCTACCACAGAACAATTTAGTGGCAGTAAGTAAAATTATCATGGATTGCCTGATTGTTTCTAAATGTGAGGGAGAACTTGGAAGGAAAAACATGAGATTAGGGGCTTACATTCCCAGCTCAATCTCTTGGTAAGGAAACAAAAGGCGTTTAAAATGGTCCTAAAGGTGACTTTTATCTTCTGTAACTACAGGATTGAGATTTCTAAAAACAAAATGCAAAACCTAATATTGTGGGTGGCTAACATGCAATACAAATCAAATTCATAACTTCTCAAGGGTCTCTTAAGGCATTTTGAAAGGGGAACATTTAAGGAAATTCTGATAAAGCTGAGAAATTTAAAACCTAAATTCTACAGAAATTGCCTTGACAATTAAAGCAACATTTCTACCCCTCTCTGAGATTAGTCTCCTATTGTCTGAAGTAAAATATCTCTTCAGAATACCAGCAACCTTCCTCAAGATCTACTCCCATCACCTCTCATTGCTTCTAGGTCTATGAACAGATGCAAATACCAGATGACTCTTCAGCTACGAAGTATGACCTCATGATGACGTACATACACACCAAAATAATTGCAATGTGGTGCTAAATTCTAATTGACAGAAACCTGGTGAATATGGGTGGCATTGTATTCTACAAGCATTGGATCAGGTTAAAGAAATTTAAAGTTGGAAGGGCGTAATTTACTAACATGGATGCACTAAGCAGAGGTTGTTCACTCAGTGTACTGATTTGAGGTGATGGGAATCACTCTACCTAGTTGTTTAGTTGGTTAACTAAATCTTCGACCTGAAAGTGGCTTACACTGAAAATGAATTTAAGGAACCAGAACTTCTTTTGTATATTTGCAAAATTGTAATAGCATATTTTTTAAAAAGGGACTGATATTATGTTAGGCTTCTGAGCTGTGCAGTATTTGTTACAATTATTTAATTCTTCTGTTTTAGCCTAAACTCAATCCTACACAATAAGCAAATAAATTGGCATGGAATTATGTTCCCATAAAAATTTATTTGCAAAACCAAGCAGGTCAACCTGTGGGCTATAGTTTACTGACCCCTGCTAGAGGAAAACATCCAGAGATTTAGGGAGCTCAGATTACTGGAATGAATTTATCAGGTAAGATCTGTTCACTCACATTCCAAGTCTCCTGGGAAGTTCCATTGGACTTTCTCTTCTCTGAGGGTTTGAGAAATGCACTGATGAGGGCAGCACCAGTATCCCTGAAGAGCTCTCCAGCAGCTATTTTCTGCAGATCATGACTAGCAATAAAAAAAAATGCTCTCATCAAAATTTTTTCCCCAAAAACAGATAGCACCTTGGATTCAGTAGAAATGATGGCATCTCTGACTAGCAGGGAACAAGTTGCAACAACCTTCGTACCTGGCTATGTTTCTTCCCCTTGATTCTCAGTGGGCTTTCTGAGGCTAAACGCTAAAAGATGACAGGGTATCTGTGCTGTTTTATTGGGACATCCTTCTTTGAAGCCCTACACCACCAGATGAGTATGCTAATTTCCCTGACAACACCATGCTGTGAGTAAACTCAGGTCACATGGAGAGGTCTAGTGAGGTAAGGTCTCAGCCAACAGCCAGCACCTACCATCAGACATGTGAGTAACAGAACCTTCAGGTGATTCTTGCTCCCAGCTCTTAAGTAACTGAGAGCTTCTGAGTTATCCTGAGTGAGGCCTCAGGCATCATGGAGAAGGCATACGAGCAATCCCTGATGTGTACTTTCTCTATCTCTGACCCACAGAATCTGAAACTATAACAAAATTGTTATGATTTTATATCACTGAGTTTAGGGTTTTTGTTACTGGAACAGAAGAAATGCCACAGACAAGTGGTAATCTGAATGTTTTAATGCACAGAGATCTTTGGTTTGGGGTAAGTGATCGTGGTGTTCCTAGAATGAAAATAAATAGGCAAACTACTAAAGTCTTATTTCATTTGTGTAAGCAGAAAAACTCTAAGTTTGGGCAATAGAAGTTTGACTTGATTCACCATAAATTATGGTTCCTCAACAAATTCTTTTATTTGAATCAGTTCACAGATCAAATAAAAAGAATAAGACCTCCACTGAATGATGGAGAGACCAGGCCTTCTGAAGGAAAGATATTGCCACACTGCTAAAAAGGTATACCTAGTCTTCTCCAAAGCAATGTACAGTCACTGTCCTTTGGTGAAAAAGAAATACCAGAAAGTTATAGAAATTAGGCAGTTAATATAGCTTTGGCTTAGATCCGTCTTATGGTGGGATCAGTGGTCCCTGAATACACCCAACAATTTTTACTCAGTTCCAGAACACATATGAGTAAATGATGATTTACTTAGTTGCAGAATATAGTTAGAATGAACATATTCAGCAATTGGAATAATTCTCACATTGGTTCCTTCACCTGGAGAATGAGGGCTATTGTAGGAAGAAAGATTAAATGAAAATCTCCAGAACTGCCTCTATTTAAAAAAATAAAGTAAACCAAAAGCAATGCAAAATTGATAGAGGAAATGCAGATATTAGTGCCTCATCAAGGACATAAAGAATACACATAATTCCTATCATATCCCCATTTAATTTGCCTAAATGGTTTACTCAGAAGACAGATCTTAAAGAATGACAGTAGGATATTATAAGATTAATAAGATGATGATTCAAATTGCGGCTGCTGTTCCAGATGTAGGTTATTTGCTGCAGCACATCAACACATTATCTGGCATACTATAGCTATTAATCTGGTAAGTAAAGTTTGTTTTCACCTGACAGGGCCAGTAATACACATTCACTGCCCTACACATATAAAATCTTCGGCTGTCATAATAATAATCCAGTCAAGAGACCTTTATTATTTCTTCATTCCACAAGAGAACACCTTGGTCCACTAAATTAATGTTATGATGCTGATTGGACTTTGTGAAGAGACAATTATACTTTCTTAGACACCTTGCTAGACACACATATGCCATCTTGATGAAATTTTTAGGGGTCCAGCGGGCATAGTTCAAGCAAAACAAGTTGCTGCACCCAATTTCTCCTACGTCAAGAAAGAGGCACCATGCCTGGTGGTTCTCTTTAGATTTGGGAGGCAACATGTGCCTCATTTGGGCCTGATATTCCATTTAGGCTGGATACTGATACTCATTTAGGCCTAAAACTATTTACTGAGTAAATCAGAAGGCTTACAGTTTTGGGAAGGGTCCAGAGCAAGTCCAGGTTCTGAACAAGTTTAGGCTGTTATGAAAGTCGTTCTGCTACTTTATTTATTTGACCAATCAGATGTATAGTGACTAAAGTATCTATGGAAGATAGAGATGCTGTATGGAGTCATTAAAAGGTCCCTCAATATATATCATAGAACAAAGGTTTAAGAACCACTATTTCTGTATGTAACTATTCTCCTCTTGAGAAACAACTTTTGGCTTATTTCAGGGCCCTCATGGAAACAAAACACTTGACCACAGCCACCAAATTACCTTGCAACATGAACTACCCACCATTAACTCGGTCTGATGCACCAAGCCATAAAATTGAATGTACACTGAAGCACTCTATAATTAAGTAGAACTATCATAGATCAGCCTCAAGAAAGTCCTCAAGGCATAAGTAATTTCCATGAACAAGTGTATCAGACTCTCAGGGTTTATATTCCTGCTATATTACCTCCTCCTTCTCAACCCACAACCGTTTTCTATGATCTACTGACTTAAAAAGAAAAAAAAAAATCTCAGCTTGATTTACAGAGAGTGCTGCATAAAATACTGGCACCATCCAAAAGTATTTGCAATACTACAGCCCTATGCAGAAGGGTCCCTGAAAAAGGGTTGTTAAAGGAAATCCTCTGAGTAGACATAACTTCAGTCAATGTACCTGGTGGTTTGTTCCTCCTGGAAGGAGAGATGGCCGGAAGTATGGATCTACACGGATTTATGAGTAGTGGCTAACAGTTTGATTGTATGCTGAGGTTGTGTAGAAGAAAAACAATTGGCTGAGTGTTGATAAGGAGATCTAGGGAGGAGGTATATAGATAGACCTCTCCAACTGGGCATAAAATGTAAACATATTTTTGTTCCATGTGAATTGCTGCCCAAAGAACAGCCTCAGCAGAGGAAGATCATGTTAAGTAGACTTCTTCCTTGGCTATTCCTGTTTTTGACCAATGGGCTCATGAGAAAAAAATGGACATGGTAGTAGGGATGGGTATTCCACATCTGCATGTTATTAATCTTCCCAAACCTGTTTTTTTGTATGTAAAATAGAGATTACAAAAGTATCTACTCCACAGGGCTGTTGTGATGTTTAAATGAAAAAAAAAATGCATGAAAGACCTTAGAACAGTAAATGGCATACATGAAATGATTAATACATATTGAATGGTTTTACTTATTTATCTACCTTATTTATTATTGATTAATTGATCAGTTGATTGATCTACCCAAAAAATATGTGTTAAGCATATTTGTGAGGTTACAGCAGTGAAGTAGACAGGCAACATCTCTACCTTTACATGTTGGCATTCTGGTGAAGAGCAACTCATTACAATGAATTGTTATTTAATGATAATGTCATAAGTACCATCAAAATGAAGTTAGTATACTGAGTAGGCAAAGAATAGGTTGTACTGACCTAGACTGGGGAATGAGAAACTACTTTCCTAAGTAAATGATGCTTAATTTTAGTTCAGAAGGAGATTTAGAATTTAGCTAGTCCAAGGAGGTGTTGATGTCAGAAAGCAGGTGGAAGAAGGATTATCTGTAAAGATTGAAAAATAACCAGGCTCATTCACTGAACCAAATTGCAGATTATATTGGAATGAGATCAGGGTTGACAAGGAGAGATAAGGCTAGGGTCTAGTCACTGAGGACCATGTAAACTTGAAGGTTAAGGAGCTGGCATTTAATTCAAAAAACAATGTGATAGCATTGTAGGGGTTCAAAGCATTGTAGTAACTTGATTCAATTTGTATTTCTAAAAAATCATCACTATGGTTGCAGTGTGGACAGTGAATGGATGAATGAGGCAAGAGGAAATCTGAGGACATGCAGATGGCTGGTGGATGATGCTGTCTTGGACTAAGTGATGGCTGTAGAGAATAGAAGGAGACACATTTAAGATGGGTTTTAACAGAGTATTTACATGACTTAGAAGCAAAGATAGCTCCTCAGTTTTGAATATGGGCCACTGGATGGATGATGATGCTTTACGAAAAGGAGCAGATCTGGTAACTATGGTCAAAAGTTTTTGGATATGCTAAGATCCAGGTGCTTGTGAAACAATGATGTAGGCTGTTTAAAAGACATGTGATAGGGGGCTACATCTTAAAGAAATCTGGAACCAACACATTTAGGAGCTATTCCATGGACATAAGGTATAAAACACAAAGTTTACCTGTTTAGAATTTGTGGTGAAAAGAGAGGAGCCTCTGGGATTGAGCCCTTTGACATTTAGTGGCCAAGTAGAGGAAGAACTGCCCACGGAGACCAAGAAGGAACCAGAGAAGCAATAGGACATTCATAGGAGCCCAGAGAAGGAAGTATCCAAGAAAGTGAGTGTGCAGCTGAAAGGGCAAGTAGGACATGGACTGGAAAACAACAGTGAGTCCAGCACCATGGAATTGTGTTATTGCTCCTGGTTACATTGCAGAAATCTAGTTCCTTCTCCAGGCTTTGATCCCCTGGAGTCCTTTAAGGCTCCTAGGATGCTGCTTCATATAATAAGAAACATGCTCCTATCCTGCTTCTAATTACATGTGAATACACGGACCACAAAATGATGCTACCTTGTGCTTCCATTATCTTAGAGAAATTTTAGCAAAATAATTTTTTTCTTTCTTTAATAGCCATTATTTTCCAAGGTGTCAAGTTTTAAAGGAATAAAAGAGAGAAATGAGAGGTAGAATCATAGGAAAAATGAATGGCTACTCATCTAAAAATTATTGTTTCTTTCTCACACTAACTCTTTATCCTCTGAACAAGCTTATATATTTCATATGGCCCCAAATCTCTTTTCTGAGTGGACTCATGGAAGTCCCATCCTTCTTTCCCCTCAATAAACTGATAAATCCTTGCAGCAAACACAATTGAAGCTGTCAAAATGAGGTCCCTGCTAGACACAATTGAGATGATTTCTTTTGAAAATAAATACCTTTCTGATGTTTTGCATTCAGGATGTTTTCTTCAAATTAAAGCTTATACACACACACACACACACACACACACACACACACACACACACACAGATAGATAGATAGATAGATAGATAGATA